TCAGGATAGTTGACTTTTTAGATGGCAGTGTTCAGAAAAGCTTGGGTAGAAATTTCGAGGCTTCTAATGATCAAGCCTAGTAGTCCCAGAATGTCACCATCTTCTACTGGTCAAGAAAATCACAAAGACCAGCCTAGATTCAAGCCTTCTATTTTTGGCTTATTGAGTTTTTCTAAAATTACTATTTATTTAAATCATAAATGGATATTGCAAATCATTAAATATTTTTCCTGAAACTACTATAATATTTTTTCTCATCTTTGTTCTGTAATATAGTAAATTGCATTTATTAGTTTTCAAATGTGAAACCACCTTTGAATAACTAGGAAAAAAATCTGACTTGGTCATGATGTATAATACTTTTTATATATTGGTTAATACTTTAAGACTATTACATCTCGATTTTTGAGAAAGATTCACCTGTAGTTTTTTCTTACAATATTTTTGTTAGGTTTTGGTATGAAAGTTACAATGCCTTCATAAGTAAGTTGCTACTTGCTCCCTCTTTTTTTGATTCTCTGGAAGAGTCTGTATAAGCTTGGTGCTATTTCTTTTTAAACTTTACTTGTTAGGCTGTTTGAATCTGGATGTATTTTTGTTTTTGTTTCTTCCTTGGTAAGGTTCTTAATTTTGGATTCAATGTCTTTAATACCTATGGAACTATTTTTTTATTCTATTTCTTCTTGAATCAGTTTTGGTATATTGTGTTTCTCTAGGATTTGGTCACTTCATCTAAATTTTCAAATTCATTGGCAAAAGGTTGTTAATAGTATCTTCTCATTATCTTATTAATGACTCTACCATTTGTATTGATGTCCCCATTTTCATTCCTGTAGTGATTATTTGTTACTTTTTTTTAATCATTTTCTTAATTAGTTGTGCTAGAGGTTCACAAATATAATTTTTACAAACAATAGTTGACTTTTTAAAACATTTTATTAATTTGTCTTTATTTAAATATTTTCTTTTTTCCCTTATTTTTGCTACTTTTCTGAATTCTTGGTATTGATATGTATATCACTGATTTGAGTCTTTTTAATCTAAATATATATTTAAGGCTATAAAATTTCTTCTAAGAATTGCCTTAATGCATTTCACATACACCATTGGCTTTTCTGGTTCTCCAGCTTGCAACTATAGACTGTGAGACCTCTCAGCCTTTCTAAGTTCATGGACCAACTCTTAATAATATGTGTGTGAGTGTATCTTAATGGCTCTGTTTTTCTGAGAATCCTGACAAATAGATCATTCCATGTCACCTGATTTTCATCAACTCTGTTGTAAAGTCAGTCTATCTTGTTGTTTCTTTGAGGGAGCTGATTATTTTGCTGTGTCCTTCAAAGGTTTTTCTTTTGTCCTTGGTTTTAAGTAGAATGTACTTCGGTACTTTCTTGTTCTGCTTGAGATTCATGGAGTTTGTTAAATGTCTGACTTTTGTCTTTTATCAATTTTGAACATTTCTCAGCCAGTTTCTCTTCATATATTACTTCTACATCCCTCCCTCTCACCATTTCCCCTTCTTCTCTCTCTCTCTTTCTCTCTCATCACTTTTTTCTAGTGTACTTATGATTATGTTAGGTTGTTTCATTATGTCCTATATACTTGTGCCCATTACTGCGTGTGTAAATATTTTTTTCTTTCCATGCTTCAGTAGATATATTCTATAGACCTTTCCTCCAGTTTCTAGTTCTTTCTTCTGATATGTCTAATTGGTGTTATTTTATTATTGTAGTATCACTTACAGAATTTCTATTTAAATTTAATTATTTCTTACAGATTTCAGTTCTCTAGCGAAATTATCCATCTTGTTATGTATTGTCTTGGATATATTTATAACAATTTAAAATACTGCATATAATAACTATAATATCTGGATCACCTGTAGGTCTGATTCCATTGTCTGTGTATTCTTTTATTGATTTTTCTATTGTCTGTATTTCCTTTTATTCAATGTAGATATTTGGTCCTTTATAGGCATGCCTAGTAGTTTTTTAAATTGAGTATCAGACATTGTTTTTTAAAAATTGTAGAGATAATTTGAAGCTTTTATGGATATTATCTTCTTCCAAAAAGGATTTTCCCCCTTTTCATTGGCAATTAAATTAAGGAAAAATCTCAGTCCTCCCGGGGGCTGAGCTGAATCAAAGATAGGTTTCAGTCCTTGGTAGGGTTTTTGTCTGTTTTGGTTTTACGTTTATTCTTAGAATATGATCCTTCTGGATTTGTAACTGGAGGTGTGAGAAATTTACTAGTGATCTTATTTCTTGGAGGACACCAGACTAATTTTTCAGCAGTGAGACTATTTAAAGCTTGGTTTAGGATTCTAGCCTTCTGCTTGATTTCTTACTCTCTCTGTCTTAAATAGCTTAGGAGTTACCAAATTCCTCCAGGGGGAACAGTCCTGCGGAATGTTGGGTTCAATCAACGAGCTTCTCTTCTCTCTGGTATTTTGGCTTTTAAAGTATCGGCTACCTTGGTAGCCTCCTGATTTCCCCAAAGAGGTTTTTTTGTTTAAACCTTGTGCATCTAGTAAGCTCTTTTACTATTACTAAAAGTGACCTAATTTTCTTTTTATCAGAACAATTATTTTTCTTTTTACTTTCAAGATTTTTTTTGTTGCCTTTTCTTTGTTTTAAATGACCTTAGATGTTAAATCACCAGGTCTGCCAGACTCATTCCTTGTTTTTCTTTGCTATTTTCTATTACCATTCTTTTCCTGTCTATCCTAGCATTTATTACTTCCTATTGCTTTTTTTAAAAGTTCATTTTAAATTCACTACTACTCTCAAGCCATTCATTATTTTTCCTTTTATTTTGTAGTGGATTTTAGTTGTCTATTGCTGTGTAACTAACCATCTTAAAAGTTAGTGGCTTAAAACAATAATTTGTTATTTTGCTTATGGATTGGCTGGCAACTCTTCTGGTCCATGTGGTGTCAGGTGAGGTCACATGGCTGTAGTTACATGGTGGCTGAGCTGGGTCTGGAGCATGGAAAAGTCCTCACTCACATGTATGGTGCCTCAGCTGGGTGGGCTGGGTGTCTGGAGCACCTTGCTTCTCCTCCTTGTGCATCTCTTCCTCCAGCAGTAGGGACTGTCTTCCTTAAAGCATGACAGCTGGTTTTCAAGAGAGCAAAAGTGGATGCTACCACATTTCTTAAAGACTCAGCTCAGAACTCTCACAGTGTCTGTCTCTTCTGCTACATCCTATAGGTTAAAAATTAATCACAAGTCCAGGCCAGAGCCCAGAAGAAGGGAAACAGCTTCCCCTTCTTGAAGGGAAGAGGCACATGCTCATATAGTTATGAGAGGAATTGCTGGTGGCCATCTTTCAAAACAATCTACCACAGTGTGGCTACGTGTATAGAAACACTTTCCCTTTTCAGTGCAATTTAGTGGTACTGTACTGCTTGTTTGATTTCTGCCCTGGAATTTTTTTCTCTACCAACAGCTTAGTTCAATTACTTTCTACCTGTAGGCTTGGGCAAAGTATAAGCACTAGGTTCAATATCAGTCTGAAACAGAACATTTTACTTGGATTTTTTCTAATGAAAGTTGAGGAATGTAGAATGTAAAATGAAATTGGGTTGTGTATTTTAAAAACTTACAGTATAATTATTTGTAATCATTTCACAAATGAAGAGAATAACATGTGGTAAGACATGTAAAATCAAGACATTTGTGAAATAATTTGACTTTTATTTCAGAGTAAAATTATACACAGATATTTTTAAACTTCAGAAATGCATTCC